GAGGTGAGGAGGTGGGATACCTGTGTGAGGTGAGGAGGTGGGCTGCCTGTGTGAGGTGAGGAGGTGGGATACCTGTGTGAGGTGAGGAGATGGGCTGCCTGTGGGAGGTGAGGTGGGATACCTGTGTGAGGTGAGGAGGTGGGATACCTGTGGGAGGTGAGAAAACGGGGTGCTGTGTAGAATACAAGGGCGCGTGTCAGCCTGTCAGGAAGGACCGTGGACTGTGTCAAGGTACATCATGGGATAAAAGGTGAGGAAAGCTTGCTGGGCCAGCCCAGGCGACTGGCCACCACAGCAGGAGTGTCCACTGCAGCGTGGATTTGCTGAAGGTCCATGAGGCTTCAGGCAGCACTGGATTCTGATGTTCCTTTTCCTGGTGATTTTGTTTAACTGGTTGCTGTTGAGTCAGTTACAGCTCACGGCTCCACAGGGCTGTCTGTACCTGAAGCAGGTCTCCAGGCACCTGCCCGTGGGGTCAACTGTCCATTTCTATGAGTGGACAAGCCCTCTGAGCATGGGTGCTGTCCGGGGCCTCCTTTGTCCTGGCAGCTGTTGCACTAGGAGCAGAAGCGCAGTGTCTTGTTTGTGCTTCATTGAAGCAGACCCTCAAATAGTGACTGCACATGCCACTTCCTCAGGAGGGGACCCCAGGAGGGGCTGGGGAATGAGATAAAGAAGGGCAGCCAGCCGAGAGGGCCCAGGTCAGTCCCACAGCATAGCAGCCCCGCAGGACAACCCCCACAGGACACACTGGAATCTCTACAGAAGCCACATCTTTTCCCCATAAAGTCACTGCTGGCTTTGAACTAGCAGCCTCATGAGAAAGAGACTTGGTAATCAGCTGCTGTATAGATTATGGCCTAGATTGAAAAAGAAAAGAGATTATGCTTTATAAAACCCTAGAGGCATTTCTGCTTTGAGTTGGAATCAACTTAGCAACACTAGCACCATCAAGAAATTGAAAATAAGAAAATATTTCAGTGACTTCTCAGTTAAGATGAGGTTCAAGCCAGACTTCAAAGGAGTAGGATTTAGACTAGTAACAAGATAGGCCCATTTAGAGGGGTTTTACAAACTTGGAGAGAGTGTGTTGGTGAGAACACACAGGCTTGGGAACCTTGGGCCGTACCGAGGTCCACACATGCTGTCAGTCGGTACAGTTCAGTGCTGTCTCATTGCGGCATGTACTCCTTTGTTCCGCTGTCCAGGAAGGGCGAGAGCTGACCTTGGAGAAGCCAGAGCTGAAAGCCCTGGTGTCGGAGAAGCTTGAGGACCTGCACAAGCGCTGGGATGAGCTGGAGACCACCACTCAGGCCAAGGCCCGCAGCCTCTTCGACGCCAACCGAGCTGAGCTGTTTGCCCAAAGCTGCTCGGCCCTGGAGAGCTGGCTGGAGAGCCTGCAGGCCCAGCTGCACTCTGACGACTATGGCAAGGACCTCACCAGCGTCAACATTCTGCTCAAGAAGCAGCAGGTGCGCCACGGGCCTTTGATGGGGCGGTGGGAAGCAAAAGCGGGGAGGCGGTAGCTCTTGACGTAGCAGATACGATCAGTGGTGGTAATTCCACGCTGATAGCTGTGGCCATCAGGGTCAGGCTTCCGGTGACTATCACTTCTTGGACCGTGGTGGCTTGCATGTCGCTGTGATACTAGAAGCCATGCCACGAGCATTCCAGATGCCAGCAGGGTCACCATGCTGGACAGATTTCAATGGAGCTGCCGGGCTCAGACAGACTGGGAAGAAGGCCTTTACTGCTTCTACTTAATTCTGGGGAAATTGGCTGGTGAAAATCTCGTAAGTAGAAGCAGCACACTGTCTGGTCACGGTGCCAGAGGCACTCACGTCGGAAGGCCTCCCAGGTGTGATGCGGAAGAAATGTCTCCTCAGAGTCGAGTCTACCTTTGTGATGTAGATGAGGTGAAGCTGTCGGGACCTTGATGCAAAATAAGAAGAAACAACTGCAAACATCCATCAGTAATTGCAAAGTGGCGAGTCTGAAGTACGAACCTAGGAAAATGAGAAGTTGTCAGAAATGGAATTAAACCCTTGAAGATCGACACCCTCGGTATAATTAGTGAGTTGAAATGGACTGGGGACCTGGGCGGTCACGTGGTCTGCTATGTCAGGAGTGAAGAAAACGAATGACACTGCATTCATTGTTAAAAAGAACATTTCAGTATCATCCTGAAATAAAACACTGTCAGCGATGTGCAGCATCCATATGCATGCAAGGAAGACAGTTAATACAGCTAGTATTCAGAGATACACACCATCACTAATGCCAGAGCTTAAGACATTGAAGATGTATCCGTTAATGCAGTCCAAAATTGATCAAACAAGCAGTCAAGATGCATCTATCATTACTAGTTATGAAAATGCAGATATTGGAAACTGAGAAGGATCAGTAGTTGGAAAATATGATCTTGGTGATAGAATTGACTCCAGACATCACATGATAGAAGGTGCAGGCCAGTGTTGGAAAACATTTCATTGGAAAGACGTTTCTTCAACAACATAAATGACAACTAACTATACACAGGCACCTCACCAAAGGGATACACAAGGATCAATTTTTTAATTTTTTGTATTAATTTTGTGTGTGTGTACTATCAAATCAGGTCTGACTGGTACTGGAGGAGATTGTCCCTCCTTCTCCAGCAGAGCATCTGGTGGGTTCGAACGGTGCACCTCTGGGATTGCAGTGCAGCTTCTTGCCACTAGACCACCAGAGCTCCCCTAAGGATCAAATTTAATATATCTGTGGAAAGAAAAGACGAAGAATCTCTATACCATGAGTCTGAACAAAGCCAGGAGCCAACTGTAGGACAAACCCTCAGGAGCTCATGTGCAAGTTCAAATTGAAGCTGAAGGAAATGAAGAGTGCACAGAGTACAAGTACAGCTTTGAGTATATCTGTCTCACTTGAATTTAGAAACTGTCTCAAGAGTGTATTTGATGCACTGACCATTTGACAGAGGACAACACAAAGAGTAGGATAATTGTCAAGGAAATCATAAAGCTAGCAGCAAAAGGTCATTTAAATGACAGGAAGAAGGAAAAGACTAAAATGACTATCAGAAGAAACTCTGAAAATTGCCTTTGAACATAGAGCAGCAGAAGCAAATAGGAGCAGCAGTGGCAGGAAAGAGCTAAACAGAAAATGTGAAAGGGCATCTCAAGAAGACAGAGTATTTTAATGAGATGTGCAAAGACAGGGAATTAGAAAACCAAAAAGGAAAATCACGCCTTCAGTATTTTTAAAAAAATCAAGCCTCAAGTTGCAATACTGAAGGATTCTATGGGCCAAATAGTGAACAGTGAAGGAAGCATCAATAGAAGATGAAAGGAAGACACAGGGCCTCCCCTCCGTTATTTCAAGGAGGGAGGTCTGTCCCTTTAGGAATATGATGTTGTTGTTATGTGCCACCGAGTCGCTTGCAACTCATAGCGACCCTATGTACAACAGCCCTAAACTCTGCTCTGTCCTGTGTTAATCACACTGTCTCCGACACACCCATCCCGATTACCCCAGTCACTGAATCTATCCACCTCATAGAGGGCCTTCCCCTCCTGCGCTGTCCCTCCACCCTCCCAAGCATGATGTCCTTCTCCAAGGACTGGTCTCTCCTCACAACATGTCCAAAGTATGTTAGACGGAGCCCCAGAATCCTTGCCTCCAAGGAGCAGCCCGGTTTAACACTCTCCAGGATAAATAACTTTCTATAAATCTATCTTTACTATTTTACCCTCAAAAAAAAAAAAAGAAAGAAAACAGGGCACAGAATCACTGCACCAAAGAAAACTGGCCAGTGTTCAGCCATTTCAGGAGGTAGCATATAATCAAGAACTGTCAGTAGTACAAGCTGCGCTGAAGGATTGGCGAAAAGCAAGTTCCAGTAGTGATGATACCAGTTGAGATGCTTCAGTAAACAGATGCAATGCTGGGAACACTCATTTATCTACGGCCGAAAAGACCCACACTTGGGCCCATTCACAAGACAGCTCATCAGCAGAGTGCACACATTATCTAACAGTATCACAGTCAAGTAAAATGATTACCACATGCAAGTTAAATCTTCTTAAGATGCTTCAAATATGGTCTCGGAACTACCACAAACTGACAAAAGTCAGATCCAGAAGAAGCCCTGGAACAAGGGGTAGCCTTGCCGATGTCAGCAGGGATTCCAGAAAGACGATTACCTGGGCTTCATTGGTTGCATGGATCATGATGAATTACGGATACTATTTCCAAGAACAGGAATTTGTTCATCCGAACAGAGCAAAGATACCTTGTGTGGTTTAAAATCAGGAAAGGTATGTGGCGGGGCTGTACACGGACTGGAGGAAGACTCACTGACGACCTGTGATATGCAGGTGACACCACCTTGCATGATGACAGTGAAGAAAGCAGCTGTTACCTGTTGCTGGGATTCAGAACCAACTTGGCGACACCTAACAGTAACATGATTTGGGAATGATTCGACAACAATGGGTTTCATTTACTAATAATTAATAATTACTCCTTTATTAAAGGAGTAAAAAGAATTCTAAAGTCAAGGTCAGCAAACCCTTTGGTAAAGGTATGGTTGGTAAATATTTCAGGCTTTTGTTTCATGTGGTCTGACACAGTTCCTCAGCTCTGTCCTCGCAGTGTGGAAACAGCCATAAACAATACACACATGGATTGCTATAGATGTTCTATAATAAACCTCTACTAATAAAAACAGAGGGAGCTCTGAGGGCCTATTGGCGAGATGCTGCGCTGTAATCCTGAAGGCACATGGTTCAAGGTCACCAGCTGCTCCGTGGGAGAAGGATGGACAATCTCCTCCCGTTCGATTAACTGCCTCTGAAAACTTGCCAGAGGGTCAGCTATGGGTCAGTTTTGACTCTGGTACGCAACAACAACAAATAAAAACAGAGCAGGAGAAAGATGGGGAATCTCCTCCCTGTGATTTACAGCCTCTGAAAAACCACTGGTGGGTCAGCTGTCAATCTATTCTGACCACAACTGGCCATAAGTTGTCCTCTGCTTAGAGCATTGTGGTATCTCTCTACCTCCCTCTACTGATAAGACTTAACATTGCACCAGCTGACAAAGGAGACGTTCATAGGGTCGAACTCCAGCATCTCCAAGCAGGGCAAAAGAGGAATGGTTTGAGATCGGGAGACAATATAGATAACTGGCTGGGGTGGGACATGAGAAACTGTATTTTAATAACCTGCTGCCCTGGGCTGTTTTTATGTATTGACATTTGAGATCTACTGGGTTAGGCTGTGAGGGAATGCTCTTGGTGGGGTAGGATTATGAGGGATGGGATAGTGGACCCCAGAGATAAGAAAGCATGAGTGGCTTGATAAAGACCGGTGTGTCTTGTGAGCCTCAGACAGAGCTGCTAACATCCTTCTCCCCGCGGTTGGCAGATGCTGGAACGGGAGATGGCCGTGAGGGAGAAGGAGGTGGAAGCAATCCAGGCCCAGGCCAAAGCGCTGGCCCAGGAAGACCGGGGTGCAGGGGAGGTGGAGAGGACATCGCGGGCCGTGGAGGAGAAGTTCCGGTCTCTGTGCCAGCCCATGAAGGAGCGCTGCCAGCGCCTGCAGGCCTCTCGCGAGCAGCACCAGTTCCACCGGGACGTGGAAGACGAGATCGTAAGTCCCCGGGCCCCAGAACAGGACCGAGTCGTTATTACAGCCGCCTGTTCCCTGCCACATGGCTCCCCAGGCTCCCCCAGGGCTGTGCCCTGTGCCCTCCTCCCTCTGGGGAGATGTGGGAATGCCCCTGCAACACCTTTACCCCAGAGCCAAACATGACTGCTCCCTTCGCACCCACTGGCAGCCCTCAAAAGCCTTTCCTCGGCCATCCCTCCACCCAGCTCCACGTTGCTGTCTGGCCCTCCCCTGACCTTTCGTTCTTATGCAGTTGTGGGTGACAGAGCGACTGCCCATGGCCAGCTCCATGGAACACGGCAAGGACCTGCCCAGTGTCCAGCTCCTCATGAAGAAAAACCAGGTGAGACTGACCAGAGGCCAAGGTCGCCATTGCTCGGCCTCTCTGACCTGGGAGGCTGCTGGGTTTCTCCGCTCTTCCTGGCCGCTGTGTGCGAACCCAGCTTTCAGTGGTTCACCTCAGGCTGGTGGCCGCACTGGGAAGCTCGTGTGGGTTGAAAGACATAGTAACCAACCTCTCCCTGAGCCCTGGTGGTACAGCGCATGCAGTATTAGCTAACAAAGCTGGAGGTCTCACACTCACCATCCACTCAAAGTCATTGCCACCAAGCTGGAACTGACTGACAGCAGACCCTCCTGTGGTTCCCAAGGCTGTAAATTGCACAGAAGGACAGTGCCCACCTTTCTCCAGCAGAGCAGCCGGCTTCACGGAGCTGTCTCGAGCTGACTGTCTCATGGCTCCCATGGATCCAAACCACCAGGGAGGGGTGGCCTTTGAGTTAGCAGTGCCGTCTGTCTATGGACCAGACCATGTCTCTCACAGGCAGTAGGTGGCTTTTAGGCCGGTGCCAGGAAAGAAGGGCAGTGAAGGGGACTTGGGACAGGAGGAAGGCCGGTGTGGAGGGAGGTGGGATGTTGAGGAAGGTGGGTGCGAGATCCGGCATCCCTCAGCCGCCGCCTCCTGTCCTGTGCTCAGACCCTGCAGAAGGAGATGCAGGGCCACGAGCCCCGGATCGCGGACCTGACGGAGCGGCAGCGTGCTCTGGGGGCGGCCGCTGCGGGCCCCGAGCTGGCCGAGCTGCAGGAACTGTGGAAACGCCTGGGCCATGAGCTAGAGCTCCGAGGGGCACGGCTGGAGGAGGCCCTGCGCGCTCAGCAGTTCTACCGTGACGCCGCCGAGGCCGAGGCCTGGATGGGCGAGCAGGAGTTACACATGATGGGCCAGGAGAAGGCCAAGGTGGGGCCCCGGGCGGAACCCCGTGGGGACTGGTCCTTCCTTCCCGACTCCCACCTGACGGCACCATCACCCCCAGGACGAGCTGAGCGCCCAGGCCGAGGTGAAGAAACATCAGGTGCTGGAGCAGGCACTGGCTGACTACGCTCAGACCATCCACCAGCTGGCGACCAGCAGCCAGGACATGATTGACCACGAGCACCCAGAGAGGTGAGCATAGAGGTCAAGGGAGCCCTGGGGAGGGAGCCTGCACCGTCTGCTCCCCGTGAGCACCTGGACAGCTGCTGTAACCGAAACACCACAAAGGGATGTTCCCAAGCCAAACAAACCCACAGCCACCAAGCTGATTCCGACTCCCAGTGACTGCAGATCAGATTAGAACTGCCCAGAGGGTTCCAAGGCTGGCCTCTTTATGGCCACATCCTTCTGCCTCAGAGAGGCTTGGAAGCTTAAACCACTAGCCTTTTTTTTTTTAGCTTTTTAAAAGTGTGTGTGTGTGTGTGTGTGTGTGTGCGCGCGCGCGCGCGCGTACCATCAAATCAGATCTGACTGCTGCAGGAGGAGAATGCCCCTCCTTCTCCAGCAGAGCATCTGGTGGATTCGAACCATGAACCTCTGGGATTGCAGTGTAGCTTCTTGCCACTAGGCCACCAGAGCTCACACAAAACCACTAACCTTTCTTTTAGCAGCTGAGCGCTTAACCTCGTGCCACCAGTGCTCCTTGGATGGCTTAACCGAAATTATTGTTCTCACTGTTCAGAAGGCTTGTTGTTATTGTTAGAGGCTGTCGAGTTGAGTATGACTCATAGCAACCCTGTGAACAACAGACCTGAGCGCTGTCCCATCCTGTGCCAACTTCACGATCTCCAACATCCTCAAGCCCTTTGCTGCAGTCACTGTGTCAATCTGCCTGGTGGAGGGTCTTCCTTCCCTTCTGACCTTCCACCTTCTCAAGCATGATGTCCCTCTCCGAGGAGGCTGGAGCTCTGAACTAAGGGCACCAGCTCTTGAGAAAGGCTTTCTTTCTCTGAGCGGTGCAGAAGGTCCCAGCCTCTTCTCAGCTTCCTCAGTTTGTTGGCCCTTCCCATGTCGCCTGGCGTCACTCTTCCCCCCACCTCTGAGTCTGGTAGGACTCAAAAGAGATTTATTTAAAACACACTCTACAGAAGTTCCTGAATAAAGTCAGGAAAAATGGGGTCCAGCTCTGGTGGCCTAGTGGCAAGAAGCTGCACTGCAATCTCAGAGGTGCATGGTTCGAATCCATCAGATGCTCTGCTGGAGAAGGAGGGACAATCTCCTCCTGTACCAGTCAGATCTGATTTGATGGTAACACAACAAAAAATAATAAAATAATTTTTTTAAAAAAACAACAAACCAATAGTGGAATTTCCAACATGATGGCCCTCAGGCATCCTTCAAACACAGAGCAAACTACAACCTCCTTGGCTAGACAATACCTATGGTGCTCTGGTAGCCAAGCGGCAAGAAGCTATACTGCAGTCCTGAGGGCATGTGGTTCAAATCCCCTCGCTGCTCCATGGGAAAAGTCTGGGCAGTCTCCTCCCATGTGATTAACTGCCTCTGAAAACCCTCCAGAGGGTCAGCTGTGGGTCGGTTCTGACTCTCTGGTGCACAAGAACCTGGTGTTCTGGGGAGCTCTGGTGGCTTAGGGGTAAGACGTGCTGCCAACTCCAAGGAACATGGTTTGGATCAACCCGTGCTCCACAGGAGAAAGATGGGCAGTTTGCTGCCTCTGAAGCCTGCTGGAGGGTCAGCTATGAATTGGCTCCCACTCGATGATGGCACACAACAACAACAACATGGTATTATTAGGTGCAGCCGAGTCGACTAGGACTTCATGACCTTGTGAGAGACAAGCCTGTCAGGTGACCAGTAACACCAGGGAGGCACTCGCTCTTTAGAATTGTTGCCACTGGGTGAACTACAACTCCTAGCGACCCTGTGAACAGCAGATCTGAACCTTCCCTGTCCTGCACCATCTGCATGGTTTCTATCACAGTCAAGTCCATTGTGGTCATCAACAATCTATTGACACATTGAGAGTCTTCCTCTCTTTCACTGACTCTACCTTAATATGATGTCTCTCTCTAAGGACTAGTTCTTGAAAATATGCCCAAAGTAACTGAGATGAAGTTTCACCATCCTTGCCTCTTCAGAGGACTCTGGTTACATTTCCTTCAAGACTGATTTGTGTCTTCTTTTTGTTAGTCCATGGGATATTCAGTACTCTTTCTCCACACCACAACTCAAAAGGCATCAATTTTTCTGTCATTGTTACTCATTGTCCAACTTTAAGATACATTTTTTTCTCCTCTTAGTATAATCATATAAAGTCAGAAAAGCAGCACTTTCCCAAGAGTAAAACCCAGAGCCCTGGAAGGAGTAGGACAGAAAGATTAATGGAAATGAGAGTCACAAGAATGAAGTGGGGAAAGTGCGGTTACTTTGTGGAGTTAATGTCACAAAAAAAAATGTGCATGAATGGTTGCCTGCAAAACGAATTTGTTCTGTAAACATTCACTCAAATCACAAACAGGAAAAAAAATAAGCAAATGCAAATAAAAAGGACCTTACCCTAATAATACCTCATTAACATAATAAGAACCCCTGCTCTCACGTGGGATTATAACCTCTGTGGACAGAGCCTTGCCACACATTCCTAACCTGGGCAGGAAAGCTCTCTGGGGCAGGATGAGGCAGGGCCATGTCTGAGTCTGTTCCACCTGCCCCCGCCCCACCCCCAGCACACGGCTGTCGATCCGCCAAGCTCAGGTGGACAAGCTGTACGCCAGCCTGAAGGAGCTGGCCGGGGAGCGGCGCGAGCGGCTGCAGGAGCACCTCCGGCTGTGCCAGCTGCGCCGGGATCTGGACGATCTGGAGCAGTGGGTCCAGGAGCGCGAGGTGGTGGCGGCTTCCCACGAGCTGGGCCAAGACTACGAGCACGTGACTGTGAGTGTGTGCGGACGTGGGGGGCAGAGGTCATGGAGGAGCAGGACACCTGGTGGGTGGAGAGCTCACTGGGGCGCAGGCATAGGCCCCGGGCCGATCAGGAGCCATTCCTCCTGGACACTGAGTGATTTGAAGAATTGTGCAGGAAAGAGAAGCCGGGTCGAGCACAGGCAAAGCCCCAGGATCAGACCTGAAACCCTTTGTCATCACAGCTGTACACACAGGCCTCAGCAAGAGAGACTTTCCCAGTTTGGGGTTTGGACCCATTGGATACAGTCGTGTGGCCTGTACTTTAGAGAACCCCAGATTTCCCCCTTTGCTGGGGCTGGAGAAAGAGTCAATCTGAACTACAGAGTCAGTGTGAAAGCAGCCTTCTAGGGAAACTTTGGGGCCCAGGTAACCCAGAGAGAGGCAGTGGGCTCTCCGCTTGGGTTGAGAGGACTGCACCCCAAGATAAGACACCACACACACACACACACACACACACACACACACACACACAACATCACAGCTCTGTCCCTGCAACCATTACTATTTCCTCCACCAGATGCTCCGGGACAAATTCCGAGAGTTCTCCCGGGACACGAGCACCATTGGCCAGGAGCGTGTGGACAGCGTCAATGCGCTGGCCAACGGGCTCATTACCGGGGGCCACGCCGCACGCGCCACGGTGGCCGAGTGGAAGGACAGCCTCAACGAGTCCTGGGCCGACCTGCTCGAGCTGCTGGACACGCGGGGCCAGGTGCTGGCGGCCGCACACGAGCTGCAGCGCTTCCTACACGGCGCCCGCCAGGCGCTGGCCCGGGTGCAGCACAAGCAGCAGCAGCTGCCGGACGGGACCGGCCGAGACCTCAACGCCGCCGAGGCCCTGCAGCGCCGGCACTGTGCCTACGAGCACGACATCCAGGCCCTCAGTGCCCAGGTTTGACCCGACTTGGGGGGCAATGTGGGAAGTGGGGTCACCCGCGGGAGCTGGGGCAGCTCTCCCAGGTGCTGCGGGCATCCTGTGGAAGGCCGTTTCAGGTCGTGGTCACTCCAGGAGCACATCACTGACCAAGGAACAAAGAGCTTGCCACGTTCACACCCTCAGTGACAAGCCTGCCAAAGGGCCCAGCTCACTCACAGGCGGTTCCTGTGGGAATGGGGGTGGTGGTGGGCCAGGGGTAGGATTCACACCTTCCCTGGGAAGACACAGGTTCAGCTCCAGCCTCTGGCAGCTCATGCAGTCACAAACCGCCTGACAGTGGGATTTTCGTGTTGCTGTCATGCTGAACGTGTTTCAGAGGAGCATCCAACTCAGTAGACGAGACAGAAAGGCCCATGGATCACAGCCGACCAGTCCACTACCCATCCTGGCACTGAAGAACTGAGCACTACGGGAGGTCATCGTACACCAGGGCCAACTCGGCAGCGTTGTTGTTGGGTGTCATAGAGTTGACTCTGACTCATAGTAACCGCATGGACGATAGGTCGAAGCCCTACCCTACCCTGCACCATCCTCCCGACCTCTTCCCACACTCGAGCCCGTTGTTACAATGACTGTGCCGCTCTATCTCTTTGAGGGTCTTTCTCTTTTTTGCTGACCTTCCATCTTTCTCAGCTGCACATCTTTTCCAAGGACTGGCCTCTCCTAATACGATGCCCAGAGCCTGTGAGACCACGTTTCACCATTCTCACCTCTAAGGAGCACGCTGGGTGCACTTCTTCCAAAACGGACTTGTTCTTTTGATAGTTCCATGGAATATTTTGTACTTTTTTCCAATTCTTCTGTCATGCTTCTTAATTGTCCAGCTTTCAGATGCAAAGGGAGTAACTGAAAAAAGATCATGGCTGGGATCACGTGTACCTTAGGCTTTAAAATTATGTCCTTGCTCTCTAGCAATTTGGAGAACTCCTTGATAGCACATTTTCCCAATGCAACATGCTTTTTGATTTCTTGACTTAATGTTAAGGTGTAGTCCATATTGAAGGCTGTACTTTTTCCTCTTCTACAGTAAGTTTTCTTCATTTTCTGCAAGCAAGGTGGTATCATCTGCATAAAGGTTATGGATGAGACTTCCTCCAATCTTAATGCAACATTCTTCCTCCTATAGTCCAGCTTCTTGAATGATTTGCTCAATATGTAGATATAGAAAGTATATGACCCTAATGCACACCTTTCCTGATTTTAAACAGGACAGTGGTTTAACCACCTCAACACCACCTAACGATGAAATCAGTCAAGGGCTGGAAGATTCTACCTGTTGTTTTAAGATCTGACTGTTGGTGCTCTCAAACTTGAGCTCTGGGCCCGCTCAGCTCGAGCAGAAATCCTTCAACTGTTTAAATCAAGTCTCTGTCCATCCAAGTCGCCCTTCAAACTGAATACTCACAGTCCTCAACTTAGAATGAGGTTCCATTCTGACAACTCTACCGTGCTTTGGTTCTGGAATACGTTGAATGCTTCCTTTGGTTTGTTTTCATTATTTCCCTTTTTTCACTGGGTCAATTGGCAGCATCAGTATGGAAGGTGAAGAGATTGAGATTGTTAACAGCTTTAGTTTTCTTGGCTCTACCGTCAACATTCTTGGCAGCAGCAGCCAGAAAATTAAAAGACAAACTGCACTGGGAGAGTCTGCTGTTAGGGACCTCTCCAAAGTACTGCAGAGCAATGGTGTCACTTTGGAGACTAAGGTGCACCTGATACAGGCCATGGTCTTTGCCATCACTTGCTATGCATCAGAGAGCTGGACAATAACTAGGGAGGATAGGAGAATTGATGCCTTTGAGCTGTGGTGTTGGAGAAGAGTATTGAATATACCATGGACTGCTAAGAAAACAGGTTCATCCTGGAGAGGGTTAAATCAGGCTGCTTCTTGGAAGCAAGGATTTTGAAGCTTCATCTGATGTACTTTGGACATGTTGCAAGAAGAGACCAATCCTTGGAGAAGGATGTCACGCTTGGGAAGGTTGGAGGGACAGCGTAGGAGAGGAAGAACCTCTATGAGGTGGATTGATTCAGTGACTTGGTAATGGGGGAATAAGTATGTTGGAGACAGATTGGCACAGAATAGAGCAGGGTTTAGGGCTGTTGTACATAAGGACACTATAAGTTGCAGGCAACTTGACGGCACATAACAACATCAAGGGAAATATTACTAATCTGATCAACTTTGGGGGCTGGCATGAGAATTATAACACCAAGAAACTGAGCAGTGCAGTATTATTTGTCCTATATTTTGACACCAAAAAGATAGACCCAAAAAAGTCACAAATTTAGTTTGTCAGAAATGAAATATGCTGAAAGTTGGAATGATCGTCATCCTATCTTTTTTGTTGTTGTTAATATATTCCTAGATTCACTCATTTCTACATACACAATCCATGAATCTCTCGTTCTAACATATCTGTGAAGTCCTTCATGCCCTGGGAAGCCTTCTGAAAGCTCAAATGGTCTGTGCCCCTTTCCAAGGGTTGCCCAGACCAAGCTCTGCCCCTGGATAAGTCTACAGCCAGAATGTGGCCAGCCTTCCCCTGGGCACAGTCTGGGCTTCCTTGCCTGGTCTTTCACTTCTCTCTCTGGGGCCTACCTGGTAGCAGGGACAGAGAAGGGGGTCAGGCCTGAGGGAGCGCTCCCTGACCTACATTGGTCCTGCAGGTCCAGCAGGTGCAGGAGGATGGCCAGCGACTCCAGAAAGCCTATGCTGGTGACAAAGCTGAGGAGATTGGTCGCCACATGCGGGCCGTGGCTGAGGCCTGGGCCCAGCTTCAGGGCAGCTCTGCAGCCCGCCGCCAGCTGCTGCTGGACACCACAGACAAGTTCCGCTTCTTCAAGGCCGTCCGGGAGCTAATGCTGTGGATGGATGGGGTCAACGTGCGGATGGACGCCCAGGAACGGCCCAGGTGAGTCCTCGGCCAGCTGCACCAGGACTGTAAGGGGGCCGGGTCAGCACATAACACCATGCCTGTGTCCCTGCAGGGATGTGTCCTCAGCTGACTTAGTCATCAAGAACCATCAAGGCATCAAGGCTGAGATCGAGGCCCGGGCGGATAGCTTCTCCACCTGCATCAACATGGGACAGGAGCTGCTGACCAAGAGCCACTATGCTGCTGACGAGGTGGGTAGGGCAGGGCCACTCTACATTCACTTTCTTTTGTGGTTAGATTCTACTATAACAAGGTCTTAATTATTATATCATCAAATGCAGCACACTTCTCCTTTATGCTACCTGAGCTGCTTTCATGTAAACAAAGCTTATTGCCAGCCTAAGATCAATAGCATATTTTTCCATACTTACTTTTATCTCGTTATTTTTTTCCATATTGTTAATCCAGTTGTAATGTATGTTAATTGTAATGCTGTTAAGCCAGTTGTATATTTGTACACAATGCAAGGTCCACAAACTTTCAATACAACATCTCAATTGAAAATATTTTTAGAAAAAAAGGAAGTTCAAGTCCAAGAGCACCTGTACGTCAGGTCAAGTTAACCCCTGGTGGAGACCCCACTCATCAGAGCCTCTCTTTTCCCTCCAGGCTTTACTGAGTCTCCCTCATCTTCTCTGCTCATCTTTTCTTGGTAGAAGTCTGTCCCACAATGCTGTTCAGGGGTTCCCCATCTTCTGTCTTCTCCCTGAGACCGTAAAAAATCAGTGCATCACTTGTGTGAGCCACAGAACCTCAGGAGACCTCCCCAGGGGATGCTGACCTCCATGTTTGCCCCTAGATCTCGGAGAAGCTGTCTCAGCTGAAGGCCCGGCGCCAGGAGACGGCGGACAAGTGGCAGGAGAAGATGGACTGGCTCCAGCTTGGTGAGCAGCTGTGTGCGGGGGACGGGTAGTGGGCCTGGGCCTTGGGAGGGCTGCCTTGTGCCCCCGTGCCTCCAGGTCCGGTGAGACCAGGAATCCTGGTGGCAGTGTAGTCGTGGAGGTATCCCCCTGGCACTGCCCGGCCCACCCTGCTACATCTGTTCAGGGCTGATGTTCTCTAGGTCCTCTGGGGTGAGTGGCAGCAGTGCCCACCCCAACCTGCCATCTCTCTGCATCCCATTTCCGCAGTCCTGGAGGTGCTGGTGTTTGGGAGAGACGCGGGTGTGGCAGAGGCCTGGCTATGCAGCCAGGAGCCACTGGTACGGAGTTCAGAGCTGGGCTGCACGGTGGACGAGGTCGAGAGCCTCATCAAGCGGCACGAGGCCTTCCAGAAGTCGGCGGTGGCCTGGGAGGAGCGCTTCAGCGCGCTGGAGAAGCTCACCACGGTGAGGGCCAGCCGCAAGCCGGGACACCCAGCCACGCCCCTAACCCTCGCCTTTGGACAAGATTCACCTCCCCTGCTGGCTTCCCCTCTTGTCTAGCTGTAGTCTCTGTCTCATCAGATGAGAGCATGTCTGGCTTCACCAGGCCCTGCTTCTATTGTTACAGTCATTGTTATGTACAGCTGAGTTGAAGTAAACCCAGAGCTGGCCTCCAACGGGTTTTCAGAGCAGTAAATCATGCAGAAGATTGCCCGTCTTTCTCCCTCAGGGCTGCTGGTAGATTTGAACTATGTACCTGTGGTTTGGCATGTAATTCCTTACCACTAGGCCACCAGAGCGCCCATCTCCTGGCCCTGGTCCCTCTGTGCTTTAAGGAGCCCTGGTAGTGCAGCTGTTAAAGCACTCCTCTGTGAGCAATTTGAACCCTCAGCAGCTCCAGAAGAGGGTGAGGTGACCATGTGCCCCCTGAAGCCAGCCCACTATGTCCTGCAGGGTTGCCAATCCTCAGCCGGCTTGATAGCAGGGTGTATATATGGGTTTGCGTTGTTGAGTGATCTGGGCTCCAAATCTCTTGTCAGCTGGAGGAGCAGGAGAAAGAGAGGAGACGAAAGTTGGAGGAGGAGGAGCGGAAAAAACAGCCGCCTGCCCCAGAGCCCAAGGGTCGTCCGCCTGAGGGGCCCCCGGCGGACGGACGGACGGCACCTGACGCAGCCTGGGACGGGTGAGCGCTGGGACACGTCGGGTGGGAGGCTGGCGACTGAGCTCAGCCCAGCCAAGCATGCTGAGCCCCTTTTGCCATTCCAGGACCCACCCTCGGCTGCCGTCATCCACACAGCTGCCCACTGTCAATGGGGTCTGCACGGACTCGGAGCCCTCCCAGGTACCTGCATGGCCCCGAGGCGCCTGCTGAACCTCGGCCTCTGTGTGGCCCACTCACTTCCTCTTGTCTTTGCAGCCCCTGTTGGAACAGCAGAGACTGGAGCAGGGCAGCTTCCCCGAGCGCCCCGTGAGTGCCTCCCAGAGACGGGGAGGTGGAGAGGGACCAGAAAGGGCAGGGGTGGTAGGACCATTGTGGACACCCGCATGCCCCTCATCACCAGAACTGCTTCCCCTACAGGCGTCTGGTGCCGGAGATGAGGCCAACGGGCCGCAGGGAGAACAGCAGAGCCGGCCCCGGCCGGCCCCGGCCACCATGCCACAGAGCAGGTCGACCGAGTCAGCCCAGGTTGCCGCTCTGCCCCCTCGAGCCCCAGAGCCCTCTGCCCAGGAGCAGATGGAAGGCATGCTGTGCCGGAAACAGGAGATGGAGGCCTTCGGCAAGAAGGCTGCCAACAGGTGTGCTTCTGGCTGCACCCAGCACCTGCCTTGGGGGAGAAGCACCCTCTGATAAAGGGACCGAGCTGAGGGCAGAGAGGGCCCTCCAAGTGGGCCACAGGGACCCAGTGGCCGGCCTCTCACTCCACCCGTCTCCCCAGGTCGTGGCAGAATGTGTACTGTGTCCTGCGCCGCGGGAGCCTTGGCTTCTACAAGGATGCTAAGGCAGCCAGCACAGGTGTGCCCTACCACGGAGAAGTGCCTGTCAGCCTGGCTAGGGCCCAGGGCAGCGTGGCTTTTGACTACCGGAAGCGCAAACATGTCTTCAAGCTGGGGTAGGAAGAGTCAAAGGGGTGCTGGGGGCCAGGTCAGAGGGAATGGGGTTGCAGAATGGGGAATGGGGACAGAGACACCGCCCCCCCAAGGAAGTGCCTGAAACATTATCTTGGGAGCAACGGGGAGAAGCAGCCTCCCCAAGCCAGGAAAAGCCAGTGGGGCAAGCCTGAATCAACCTGTCTGAATCACATCCAGCCTGGTCCCCACTTACATCAACATGTGGCCCCATTCAGGCAAACCCCAACCGTCAGCTGTCTCCTGACGTTCTCTCTCTCCCACAGCTTACAGGACGGAAAAGAGTATTTATTCCAGGCCAAGGATGAGGTGAGCAGCCTCCTTCTTCGTCCCGTGCCACTCAGCTCCCCCTGCTGCCTGATCCCCTTTCCTCAAACTCGCATGCTCTGTAATAAGAGTCCCAGCAGGTGCTGGGCATGCAGTGGGGGGCCCTGGGCGCACTCCCCATCCTGCAGGGGCTTCTCCTCCTCATGAGGCCGAAGGATCCAGTAGTTGCTTTGCCTCATTCCTCCCTTTCCCCTGCTGCTTGGACCTGCCATCCACCCCCCATAGCTTCTTGGGACTCATCGGGTCTCTTTCCACCCTCTGCAGGCAGAGATGAGCTCGTGGCTGCGGGTAGTGAACGCAGCCATTGCCACAGCGTCCTCTGCTGCTGGAGAGCCTGAAGAGCCAGCGGTGCCCAGTGCCAGCCGGGGCATGACCAGGGCCATGACCATGCCGCCGGTTTCAGTGTCTGGGGCTGAGGGACCTGTCGTCCTTCGAAGTAAGGACGGCAGGGAACGAGAGCGAGAAAAACGTTTCAGCTTCTTCAAGAAGAGCAAGTAGTTGGGGGCAAGACTCCCAGGACAGCTCCCTCCCTCTGCTGGGGAAACTGCCAGGGACTGTCGACAGGGACCACTTTCTTGTCAGGACAACTGCCTGCTGCTAGGGTTTGTTGCCAAGGCCAGCCCATCACCAGGAACTGTCACTTGGAGACACGTTCATGTTTCCAAGGACAACCCTTCTCTTCTGCTATTTAATTCCAGACTGGTGGTGGGACCCAGGCAAGCCCCAGTTCCACTCCCTACCCTTCCTTTTGCCCTCCTCCCCTAGCCTTATGCCTCTGCCCCCACCACAGCGTGGACAGCACCCTCAACAAAGGCCATGTGGGGAATGGCTGCCCCTCCTCAGGGTTGTTCTCCCGACACAGCTGGGGACCCCCTCCCGGGTCCTCGCTCCTAGGGGCCAGCCAGGAGCCTCCCAGAGTCAGAGCAGGACCTGGAGGCAAGAGTGTCAGATGCCAGCGTCGAGACGTGGATGCTCCCCCTCCCTGTCCTGTCCTCATCCTCTGCCCTGAGTGGCCAATCTCCGGCAACTCTCCACGTCTTCCAAGTGGGAGTTGCTCAGGAGTAACCACAGCCTTGAGTTTGGCCGAGGAGGTGATTAAACAGCTCAGCTTCTCTTACTGCCTCTGGTGTCCTTGCTTTGCTGACCACGCCCCTCTCTGCCGAAGCCCGTGTTCTTCCTTTGCCTCTGGTTTCTTGGATCATTTCCAGTTGCCCCCAGCCTCCAAACCCTAAAAAGAAATCACCTGATTTGGAGAGCCACCCCCCTTCAGGTCAATCTCATTTCTCTGTGACAGTGACCTCCAGTTTTCTGGGTAGACCAATGCCAAGCACCTCCTTGCATGATGGGTCAGGATGACGAGAGCTAGCAGGGATCATTCTGAAAGCCAGTGACGCACAACTTGCTCCACACTAGAGTCTTTCAAATTTTTTCAAAAATAGAAAAAAGAACAATCCACTCCTCTGTTTTGACACTGAGTCCACCCTCCTAGGTCTGTGGCAATGAGAGAGCAATGTGGTCACACGCTGGCCCCTCCCACTGTTCAGCTTTGCACTGCAGAGTAGGGCACATGGGGGGTATCCACTGAACCCCCACTTTCTGCGCTTCCACAATGGAGAGGACTAGGGGAGCTCAAGCAGGCATCAGGTTCTCAACCCACTGGAATCCTCCAGGGCAGCCATAAGGTACACCCTAAGTGTCACACACACACAGAGAAGCTCAGAGGAAGACATGTCCCAGATCTGATGAAGTATATAGAAGGGGATCCCACAGTGTCTCCCTTGTCTGGCGTGACAAGGTGTTTGAGCCTCCAGCCCAGTGCTCAAGATGCTGAGAGAAGTCACCTCTCGGGTAGCCGCCTAGAGAAACAGTTTTATTTTCTTTGTTTCATACACCACCATCGCCACCAAAATGTCTCTGTTTTCCTTAAATGCTCAGAGATCTTTACAGAGAAGTAGCCCCATCTTTAATGAACCCAGCCAAAGGCCCTGGTTTTGCTGACTCTGGACTGCCAGTAATCACCAGCTTAGATAGAAAGAATGGCCAGGTCAGGTGCACAGGCCCAAAGCTGCGATAATCCGGTCCCAGAATACCAGAGCGTCCCTGAACACGCAACCTGGTTGCCACTGAGCTCACAGATAGTCGTTTTAGCTTAAAGGTGGCAGATTCTGGACTATTCCACAATAAGAATATTGATCAATATTACTGGAACAATCTGGGATTGGATTGTTGTTACATACCATCAAGTTTGACCCTCCAGTGGGTTTTCAGAGGCTATAAATTGCACCAAAGTTGCCTTTCTTTCCCCTGAGAGGCAGTTGATGGATTTGAACCAACTGCTTCTGGGTTGGCAGTGCAACTCCTTACCTGCTTAGATGAAATCATTTATCAGCTCTGCCAGGCACCTCCTGTTCTTTGAGTATAGTTGTGAAACCCCTACTGTCTGAAAGGAAGAAAGTCATAATTCCAGGCTACTGAGAGAATCTTGGTTATTTGCTTTAAAAAGTGGCAACCCTGGGGGTGGGGGAGGGGAGCAAAGTCAGTAGCTGGAAATTTGGAAAGGTAATGTCTATGGAGGAAAGAAATCACGGGAAAATTATTTTGACATGGAAAATGCAAATCAGACATCCAAATGAAACACCCCTGTCAAACGCAGTTGGACCGAAGTGCGTGGATGGTTTATTAAACACAGCTAAGACCATGCCTGGGGTGGACCTTGTGTCTGTGCTATCCAATGTAGCTATGAGCCACGGTTAACTATTGAGCACTTGAAATGTGGCTGGTCCAACAGGAGATGGACCACTGTAAGTGTAAACTACACACTAGACATTTAAGACACTTTGGGGGGGGGGTGGAAATCATGTTTATATTAAGACTGGTGAGATTTCAGCTTGCTTCCTTCAAACACATCACCAGAAAAGACCACGAGCTAGAAAAAGAACATTGTGGTTGGTAGAGGTTAGCAAATCAAGACAAATGGTTAATGAAGCAGATTGATGCAGTAACCAAAACAGTGAACCCAAATATCAACAGTCATGAAGACGTGATGGAACCCAGCAACACTTTTCCTATTTATACATCAGGTCACCAGACGCTGGGGACAGCTCTGTGACATCTAACAAAAACAACTGTTAATATTTTCACCACACTGAGTCTCAAGCATATTATTAAAAAAAATTTTAAGATTCATATATGGTACATATGATATTTCTATTTAACTGCTCTACTAAAAAACAGATAAAAGACATAAATGTGAATAGAGAAATGTAGACTAGCCTTGTGATTCAGGGAATAGAAGACTTCTACATGACATTCTAAAACTACAAATTTTAAGGCTAAAAATGGTAAAGATCAATCTGATGACAACTAAATTAAGAATCATAGTTCAATGAAGAGCACCACAGGCAAAATTAGTAATGGTAGAATGAGAAGGTTGGTTTTGAACCTGCAAATAGTTATCTAGAGAATACCTAAAAGTCCTGCAATCAACAACAAATAGGAGAGTGCAATCTGGAATAAAACAGAATTTTTAAAGAATGGCAAACTGCTCCCACCCCCCCCAAAAAAAAAACCACCTCAAGAACTAACACTGCCATCAGTTCAGATGCACAGGGACCCTCCATCCTGTTTCCAAAGTCAGCATTCTTCACAGGAGGAAACTGCTCATCTTTCTTCCTTGGAGCCAATGGTGATTTTGAAGCATATCAAAGTGTTGTTAAGTGCTACTGAGTCTCTTTCAACTCATGTTATTGTTGTTACGTGCCATCAAGTCAGAACTGATTCATAGCTGACCCTCCAGTGGGCTTTCAGAGACGGTTAATTGAATAGGAGGAGACTGCCCATCTTTCTCCTGCGGAGCCGCTGCGAGATTTGGTGGAGTTGTGGTAGCTCAGTTCCTTACCACTAAGCCACCAGAACTCCCAGTGACAACTGTCAAGTCCTGAGCCATCCTTGCAAGCGTTGCTATGTTTGGCCTCATTTTTGCAGCCAATTTATCAATATATTTAATTGAAAATTTGGGGGATTTTGCATCTAACCATCTCTAGTTGATTAGACATGATGTCCTTCTCCAGGGATTGGTTCCTCCTTATAACATGACCAAAGTAACTGAGTCATGTCATTCTACTGAGCATTTTGGCTGCTCTTCTTCTAAGACACGTGTTTTACTCAGCTGGAGTACTTGGTATATTCAATATTCCTTGCCAACAGCGTGATTTAAAGGCATCCCCCTTTCCCCCCCCTTTTTCATTGTTCAGGTTTCAAATGCATACTGAAGTGACAGAAAATATGCTAACTTGGGTCAGGCACTTAGTCCTTGTTCTTAGATGCTGTCAAATCAAGTACACGTCATAGTGACCCTCTGAACAACAGATCTGACCCATGTCCTATCCTGTGCTGCCCTCATCATCTCTGACACATTTAAGCCCATTGCTGCAGTCACTGCGTCAATCCATTTCGTTCAGGATCTTTCTTTCCTCTGCTGAACCTCTTGCCTTTCCAAATATGATCTCCATTTTTAAGGAATAGCCTTATGCAACATGCTTAAAATCTGTGAGGTGAAGTTTTGCTATCCTTGCCTCCACAGAGTACTCTGGCTGCACTTTTCCCAAGACCTATCTGTTTGGGAGTTTTTTGGCAGTCCATGGACTATTCAATGCTCTTATCCAACACCAAGGCATCAGGTTTTTTTTTCTGTCATCCTTATTCCTTGTCCAACTCTCAGATGCATAGAAAGTGATTCAAAAGACCATGACTTGAATAAGGCACACCTTAGTCTTCAAAATGACATCATTTTCCATAAAACCATTTTTTGGGGGGGAAAATTACATCATTACTCCTCAGTAATTTGGAGAAATCCCTGACAGGAGATTTATCCAAAGCAATATGTCTCCTGATCTGACTGCAGATATCAAAGGTGCTGATTGTGGATCCAAGTAAGAATGAACTTGCTGACAATTTCAACCTTTTCTCCTGTCTATCATAATGTTGCCTATTGGTCCCAATGATGAGGTTTTTTCTCTTCTTATGTTGAGATGCAATCTATATTGAAGGCTGAGCAGTGCTTCAGATCCTCACTTTCAGCAAGATTGTGTCATCTCCATAATGAAGCTTGTTGATGATTGATTGATGTTGTTCATTCTTCCAATCCTGATGCCACCTCCTTCTTCATATAGTCCAGCTTCTTAAATGATTTGTTATGTGTACAGATTCAATAGATATGGAGAAAGGATACAGGCCTGTTGTGTATGCCTTTCCTGATTTTAAACCACAGACTGTTCCCTTGACTTGTCTGTTTGGACAAAAGCTTCGTGGTAAAGATGACATTTTTGCTCTCAAATACTTTTTTGTAAGCCGAATTCCCTCCAATGCAATGTATTGGTTTCTTGACCACTGACTGCTTCCATGGCTGTTGACTGTGGACCCAAGTAAAAGGAAATCCTTATTTCTATTTCTTATAAAAGAAACCAGCGAAAGAAACCTATCAGAGTAATTGAGGCATACAAGGAACGGCGAATTTGAGCGGGGGGCGCTGTCATGGAGTCCCCATAAAGGGGAATGGTGACATACACTCTCTCCCACCCTACCCCCGCCTCCCTCAGGACCTGACTGCCAAACACACTCCTTAGATAGTCACTATCTAGACAGTGTTCCAGCGCCAGTGAGCGATCCATGCAACAGTTTCACGTTTGCCACCAGGAGGTGCCCTTGGACCACAACAGGGTTTTGAAAGCTAGCTAGCTGCTTAGAGCTCCAGAGCGTGGTGTGTAAGTGGAAACCTATCCTGTCCGCAATCAGTGCCCCTCCCCGGGCCTCCTGACCAATCACTCCACGGACCAGGAGCCGGGAAGAGCACGTACTCAAAGTTGGTACTCTAGAGAAACAGCGCTCGTGGGCACAAGCCAACAAAACACCGTCAGCGCTGCCTGCCTCTAAGCTGTCCCAGCTGTCAGTCATCAGCTGTTTTCTCACAATGAATAATAAAACGTTGGAGAAAAAACCCCAAATTCTTTTTAAAGTTCTAAAAAGAACTAGACTTTGCTCAAAACGTGGCGTGCTTGGACGTCTGAAATGTTGCCCAAGTTATGCGACAGACTGGCCAAGCCCCTAGAAAGCTAACTTTTGGGGAGCAGTAACCTTTTGTTAACACCTCCACCGCCAGGCGAGCGCAACAAGCCCCACTGTGATGGTCAGCGACACGCGCGGCGGTTCTGATTTCACCAGAACAGCGATTTCACCTCATCCGCGAGGGCACAGACTTCCTTTCGAGGCCGGTGATTGGCTGTCGGCAGCCTGGGGCGGGCCTCCTGCCTCCGCTCCGCGCCGACGTCACCAGCTGGCCCCGCCCCGTGCGGGGCCTGCTGGGAGCCGAGCCTCCGGCCGTCGTGCGTCCGCGGCGGCGGGATTGGTCCGCCGGCTCCCGCGTGGGGAAGGCGATCGCGGCAGCGCGCACCCGCGCGTGCGTGAGTCGGCGCGCGAGCCCGGGCCCGGTCGCGCCGCGGCTCGAGCGGCCGTCGCCATTTTGGAGGGTTCTCTCTGACGCGGGAGCCGCCGCCGCCGCCGCCACCCGGAGGTCCGAAGGGGGTCTTGTTGGGGGTGTGGGGACCCCGGGGAGGCAGGCCACGCTGGGCATCTCCGGGAGCGAGACGGCCCCGCGTGAGAGGGGTCACTTCATGCCGCCGGAGGTCTGCGGACGTAGCGGGAGGAGGCGGGTCCGGGTCCCCGGAGGCGGGGCAGGGGTCGTCGGCTCGAGTCTTTGTTGGGGCGGAGGAGCTGAGGGTTAGGCTGCGGGGGGTTACGGGTTGGATCCAGAGGGTGCTGCTTTCTCCTTCTTGGAAGATGATACGGCTTGGAGGAGCCGTGCACAGATTTCCCTCCAAAACCTTGTTACCGTGAACTCCCAGATAGGAGCCTCGTCTCTGCTTGATGACTTTCCCTTCCAATTAAAAAAACAAAAAAAACAAACCCACAGAAACTGATTTTAAGACGTGAAACTGGTAAACCTGTTACTTAAGTGAGGCTGATTTTGTGGGAATGATAACCGACCTCTCGTTGGCATCTGTCAAACTCGGCTAACGTACTGTATTGAGAAGCAATAGTGGACATCTGTGTGAGGCTCTGCAAAGTGCCAGGACCTTCTCTGAGTCCTTAAAACTAGAAGGCAGGGCACTGACATCTTGGACCCCATCCTCATCATTTGAAGTCTTTTGTCTTTTTTTTCCCCCCAGGCCGCTGTCAGGATGGTGAAGCTGTTCATCGGAAACCTGCCCCGCGAGGCCACGGAGCAGGAGATCCGCTCCCTGTTCGAGCAGTACGGGAAGGTGCTGGAATGTGACATCATTAAGAACTACGGCTTTGTGCACATAGAGGACAAGACGGCGGCCGAGGATGCCATCCGCAACCTGCACCACTACAAGCTGCACGGGGTCAACATCAACGTGGAAGCCAGCAAGAACAAGAGCAAAGCTTCCACCAAGCTCCACGTGGGCAACATCAGTCCCACGTGTACCAACCAAGAGCTTCGCGCCAAGTTTGAGGAGTACGGTCCTGTCATCGAGTGTGACATCGTGAAGGATTATGCCTTTGTCCACATGGAGCGGGCGGAGGATGCCGTTGAGGCCATCAGGGGCCTTGACAACACAGAGTTTCAAGGTGAAGTGTGCTGGGACCTGGGTAGCAGAGCTGGGTGGGGGCTGGCTCAAGACAGAAGAGCATCAGACCAGGGGACTGATGAGGTCATTGCTTTCATCCTATTTTAGCTGGAAGTAATAGTGTTCTCTTTATTATGTGAGTCACTGGGTGCCACAAAGGGTTGTATGCTGGACTCTCCAAAAAAATGGCAGTTCGGACCCACTGATTGGCACCTCAGAAGTAAGGGCTGGCAAGCTCCTGAAAGATCACAGCTTTGGACATGAAGCAGAGCATTTCTACCCTGTAGACACGGGGTTAGGGTTAGGATTGTCTTGATAGTAGTGGATCTGTGTATTTATATACAGTATTCTCTAGTAGAAGCAGTGCTTTTCAACTCCACCATCACTGTCCCGAGTCACACACTGTGGGTTACACTATGCCACAGGCTTCATTCACTTAGTGGCGATTGTCCAGGGAGCCCTAGTACGGCAGTTAAACTACTTGGATTCTAACAAGAAGATTCAAACCCACCAGCTGCCCCCCAGGCGAAAGATGAGGTATTCGGCGTCCCTGAAGAGTTGCAGCCTTGGAAGCTCTCTGGGACACTTCTGCTCTGTTCTGCATGGTTGCTGTGAGTCAGAGTCGGTTCGATGGACCATACAAAAGGCGAAAAAAATGCCCTAGATTATTCTTGTGCAGTTGCTATTAATTAAACCTGGACGGGTAAAGAGAACTGGCAGAGAAAAGAAGCATTTCTAGAAAGAGTCGATTGACTTCTCAGTGCTGTTGCTATGGAGATTGCAGTGTCACTCCAGAGAGCCAAGCCAAACTCACTATGGGTGAGCGGGTACTGGTGCATGTTGACCCTCTAGGAGCAGCTAGTTAGATTCAAGCCACTGACCTTTTGATTAATTAGTCCCCAGCTGCTTTCACCATTATTCAAATCACCAAGGCTCCTAGGGCATAAAAAAGTACATCACATTATTTATGCTGAAAGTGAAGGCACGTGTGCTATTATTATATCACAGGAAATCATCTGAAGAGCCTCTAAAATTGTGCTGAAAAAATAAGTTCTCCACTAGCGGCATGTAGTTAAATTAATTCAAGCCTAAAGTTGTACTGGCCACATTTCAAGCACTCAAGGCCACTGGGGGGGGTGGGGGGGGTGGCGGGGGAACCAAAAAACAAACCACTGTGTCCAGTCAGTTCTCATTCTTAGTGCCCCTCCAACTGGGCTTCCAATCTCTTGAGTGGAGACTGCCTCTCTTGCTGCCACAGTGGATTCGAACTGTCACCCTTTCCATTATATACAATGTGCCACCCACCAGGGCTCCTTAAGCCACATAAAGAATAGATGGGAGAAGAGGAAATGGTGGCCAGAACAGGTTAGGATACCTGTACATGGTTGAGACTGGGGGAGGTGCCTATCAGGGACCTGGGACTGAAGGCCTGGGGTGCCTTAACTCTTGGATCCTTGGCTGCCTTTGACTAGTCATATGACACTGGACAAGTGATTTAACCTCTCTGCTTCGTTTTCCCCATTTACAAAATAGAGGGAACGATCCCAGTCCCTGCAGTACCTCCCTCCGCGGATGATAGCGAGGCTAGAATAAGGTCGTAGATGTGAAGGTATTTTGACAGTATCAGCACTGTGTGATGAGAGGTGAGTTGTGTGCATTGAGTGTCTCTAGTGTGGTTAGAAAAGCTTTTGTAAATGTGACGCTTTGCTTGTGTGTCTTACTTAGTTTTTTATATATATTGTATTGCTGTTACTATGTTGAAATGGCTTTGTATTCCACGTAGCTTAAAACTTCCCTTTTCACTTGATGTGGCTCATAAATGGACAGTAAAGGAAAAAGATTGTTTCTTTACTAGTCAAGTATGAACAAAACGTAGTGTTAGGTACCACATCTGCATGTCCTTCCTTACCTTTTTTAAATTAATTTCAATGAACATTTACAAAGATTTTGGATTTCCATTCATTAATTGTTTCACTTTTCTCCTCGCCCCCTACTTCACTCTTCTCCTTGAAAAGCAAAAGGAAAAACTCCTTCATTGGTATACAATCCCCCTGCACCCCCCCATCCTGTATACTCCACTCTGCAACCCTCATTCCGAACTCTTATGATAATCATAATGCCCTAAAATATAATACTTTTAAACTGTTGTCTCCCTCATCTGTTTCAATGCAGTATACATAATTTATTCCGTTTTTCTCAGTCTTACCCCCACCCTGATGTCAGCCTCATTGTACAACAGTGGCACCATACAATATTTGTCTTTTTGTGACTGAGATAGTTCACTCAGCATAATGTCCTCCAGGGCCACCCATTTTGAATAATATTGCATGAGTTCCTTGTTTTTCAGTGCAGCATAGTATTCCATTGTATGAATATACCACAGCTTCTCTATCCATTTGTTTGCTGATGGGCACTTAGGTCGTTTCCAACTCCTGGCTATTGTGAACAAAGCAGCGATAAACATGGGTGTGCATATATCTGCTTGGATGTTGGTTATGGTCTCTTTAGGGTACTTCCTTACCTTTTTAACATAAGACCAGATAACAGGAAAGGAAAAAAATATGAGAGATTGTATTTATTGTATTTTTTCTTGTGTACAAGAAATTGTGGAAGCAGCATTGATGGTGGTGCTGGTAAATACCATCAAGTCATTTCCAACTCCTAGTGACACAGTTGTGCATACATCAGCAACAACAGTGACATGGTACAACTGAAGGAAATCTCCCCCCACTCAATTGAGAGTCTTCCTCTCCTTCGATAGTCTTCTGCTTTTGTAACATGCTGTCCTCCAGCTACAGGCCCTTCCTGACAGCATGCCCAAAGTACGTGAGTATCCCTGACTGTAAGGATTATTCTGGTTGCACTCCTTGCAGGAAGTTCTTTGGTAGTCTGTGTTCAATATTACCTTGCCAACACCACAGTTCAAAGGCACAAATTCTTTTTCAGTCTTCTTTATTCATTATCAACCTCTCACATTCTTATGAAATGATGAAGATACCATGGCTTGGGTCAGAAGAAGCACCTTAGTCTTTGAACTTACATCTTTTTACTTTAACACATTCAAGAAATTCTTGGCCGCAGATTTGCCCCGTGCAGTATGTTGTTTGCTTTTGTGGCTCCTACTTCCATCATTGTTGACTGTGGACCCAAGTAAAATGAAACCTTTGACATCTTCAGTCTTTTCATTGTTGTTCTTAATGTTTATTGGTCCAGTTGCCATAAGTCAAAATTGACTCAATGGTATCGGTTTTGTTTACAAGAAATTATTGTTTATTATTAATTGTAGTTATACTAATTGGATGGAGTTAGTTTAGAAGAGAGTATGTTTTAATGCAATAGGTTTAATTCAGGAAGTGGGAAGTGGCTGTATAAATGACAGGCTGGTGCATGAGGTTTTTAAAATCATGACTTTTTTAGGATAGACAGGCAGTAAATTGAATTGGAAAAGAAAATTCATTTGCTTTTCTTTTTTTATTATTATTATTTGTGTGTGTGTGTGTCTGTGTACCGTCAGATCAGATCTGACTGGTACAGGAGGAGATTGTCCCACCTTTCCTAGCAGAGCATCTGGTGGATTCGAACCATGCGCCTCTGGGATTGCAGTGCAGCTTCTTGCCACTAGGCCACCATAGCTCCCCAACTCATTTGCTTTTCATATCCTTAGCACAGTCCTCTAGACAGATCACTATGCTCTGAGTTAGAATCCTTTTATAATCGGCTCTTTATGTTCCCAGAAAACAAGAGTAAGTTTATTATTGGATGATATGTTCCAAAATATAACCTACATAATAGTTTTGGGTTTGGGGTTTTATTTTCTCTAGGTTTAAAACCATTCCCATAATCTGTCAGAGCAAATTGACTTTGCATTAAATGATGCAAACACATTGTTTTGTGACATTGGCTACAGTCCTCATATCAGAACAGTACTCATATTCGTCTAAGCAGTTTGTCCCTGTGGGTGGTCATCACCTCATAGGCCTGTCCATTGTTCTGTTTGACTGAAGTTGAATCAAGGAGCATGATTTCAGTTCCAGGTTTAATGGATGATTAACTAAAAGCATTTAGTTTCAGGGGTAAGATGGACGTCTTTGGAACTTACATTTCTGTTTATTGTGACTGGGATTTCATGGGCATTTTATGACTTGTAAACAGATCACGAGGGTCTTTCTGGATGTGCTTCTCCTCAAAAGCAGCAGTGAGTTGAACTAATATTAATTAGCAAGTGATTTGCATTAGAAGTCCCGAAAGAAGCAACAAGTTGAGCAGCTATATTGGGAATGATGTAAGCATTCAGCGGTTAAGTCCCCCCCTTGTAGGACTGTGTATCAGCTGCACATGCCCACCTGGCCAAGTCTTTTCTGGGCCCTGGTGCCAGGATGGGCTCAGAGCTTGGGACCAGAAGTTCTTAACTCCCTTCAGCATTTCAATAGCACTTTTCAAAAGAAGAAAGTCTTAACTGGACTGGTTTTCTGGAAAGTGTTGGTAGCAGATTTCAGTGATTTTTGGAGAGCTCAGGAAATCTTTAAACTTTTGGCCTTTCCAGGTGTAGTAGGGTATTTAAGTCTAAACTTTCTCCTTTCTTCTGGCTTGATTTTTTAAGGTAATTAATAGAGAATCACATGATTTTTTTCCCCCAGATGATGAGATTAAGTTTATTATTAGGTAATAAGATTAAAATTAAAAGTGTCTGGTTAATACCACTTGAAAAATTATGTGAGGGGAATCCACTATGGCTATTTAAAGATCTTTTTTGTTCTAGGTAGAAAAATTTTATCAGTATCTTTTTTTATTATTACAACTAAGTTTTGTCACAGGTGTTCACATACACTTAGGATTCCCAAATCTAAATAATAGACTGAGGACTGCATTTAATAGAAGCAACATCAAGGAAAAGTCACTGAGCTTTGTCAGAATCTATCAAACAACTTCAAGTTTAATTGGAATTTTTTTCCCCTTAAAAATGGACTTGGAGGTCTCTGGATTGGCTACTTTTTAGATGGC